GGGGGGGGGGGGTGGCTGAGTGACAGTGCAGAGTACCAACAGCCTGGCTGCAGAGAGATTGGCAGTAAGCACATCTGCGTGCCTAGGAATGCAAGCTTCATTTTGAGAGTTTAACAGATGCTAATGAAATATTTTAAGCCAATGGGTGATAAAATGAACTTTCCATTTTTAACATATCATTCCAATTTATAGTGAACAAGTGTAGATGATGGGTTGAAGAAGGCAAAAGGGGCTGTCTCATCGTATGAATTGAAATTAAATGGGTCTAGGACTCGAGAGAAAGAACTGAGTTTAAGATATTTGAGGCTAACACAAGGAATTGAATCAACCATGGAGAATTATGTGCTGTGATGACAAGACTAGGATAAAATACTAAAAAACAGCAACATTTAAGAAGTGAAAGAGTAGAAGCCTGCAAATAGGAATAGAAAGGTTGATATAGGACTAGGAAAGGGCTGCATCATGGAAACTAAGGAAGGATAGAGTTTCATGGGGGTGGGGTGGGGTGGAGATTATATTGCTTCTAGGGAACCAATAACAAAAAGTTATATTCACCAGGATCCTGATAGGAAACAGGTGGCACATTTAAAAGGGGGAACTGAAAAGAGATTAATAAAGGGACTAGGAAGCCAAGTAAGTATAGTGAAGCATCCCTAGAACTGACAACAAAGTCAGTGTTACCACCACAGACCTGAGCAGAGAAGTGCTGCAGCTGCCAGACAGGACCTGAGGTCCTAGGTAGAGGAACAGTGCTACTGTTAAACCAAGCCCAGCAGAGCAGAAGCCAGAAGAATAATTCTCAAAACCTCTTTTTTCTGTCACCCTCCCATTTCTTGCTAGTGCCTTCCATTGGTCAAGCTCAGCCATAGAATAAAAAGCCAGGGATCATTCAGTCTCTGCGAAGCAGAAACAAATGGAGAAGTGAGCAAAGAGAGAATATCCAGCATAGAAGCAATGTGTCCCTATATTCTACAACATAAAGTCACACTGGCAACTTTTGTCAGAGCAATTTTGTTGGAGGGATGGGAACAGAAAAGAGATTGCAATGAGTAGTAAAGAAATAGAGCAGGAAAGTAAAGTTAACAAGTGTAGCTTGGCTGTGAAATGCAAAGAGTGATGGAACAATAGCCAGAATAGAAATGTGAATGAGATGTGGTCCTCTCTCCAAGAAAGTTTTGCAGTTAAATTATAATACCATGCAATGAGAGTCACATTATAATACATGTGTAATACCATGTAATGGGGGCTGTTACAGAAACATTAGCATAGTGACAAAGAAGTACAAAACTTACGGTTGGGAAGAGAACTTAAAGGGTGAGTGTGATTGTCTAATAAAAAAGCATAGGTTGAGTTTAGGCATGTTTAGGCTACAGCGTTGTAAAAGGCACAGACCCCTAAGGAAATAAAACTTGTTCAGAGAGGCAGGACTGTAGGATATGTTGCTGGTGGGACAGGAGATGATCTACAATGCAGATTGGAATCAGATTTGAAATGCCTGTGTGTCTAGCTAGGGAGTTTGAACTTTATCCTGTAACTAGTAGAGAATCAGTGGAGGTTTTTAAGCAGAGAGTGTATAATCCTCTTTATTCTTTTAGAAAGATTATTGGTGTGAACGTTGGAGACTGAAAACGATGGAAAGAAATTGGAGGAAAGGAGACCAGAAAAAGTTAATGGGATAATCTGAGGGATAGATTATTACTGCCTAAACTAGAATAGTACTATTTTGTATAGTGAAGAAAGGACATCTGATAAAGAATAAAAGTATTTTGACTAGTTAGAAGACAAGGATGAGAAAGAATGAAAATGCCTTTTCACAATGCAGAGATGTGGCATAAGAAATAAGAGTTTAGCCCAGCCGGGCGTGGCTCAGCAGTTGAGCGTCGACCTAGGATCCAGGCAATCGGGGTTCGATTCCCGGTCAGGGCACATGCCCGGGTTGCGGGCTCGATCCCCAGTCGGGGGCATGCAGGAAGCAGCCGATCAATGACTCTCTCATCATTGATGTTTCTATCTCTCTCTCTCCCTCTCCTTTCCTCTCCCTGAAATCAATAAAGATATATTTTTTTAAAAAAAGAAATGAGTTTAAAAATGTTTTTCAAGTAGAAGTATAAGAATTGGAGTATGGAGAGAATAGTGGGAGGAAAACCAGAAGGATTCAGCTATGGATTTAAAAGGACTGATCTTAAAGGGTGGTAGTGAAGTAGAAAAGAAAGATCGAAGAAAAAGTATTTCATGGAAAGAGTAGATTATACGATAGAATAAAATGAAAAAAAGCAAAAATATCAAAAGAAGCTCAAATTTTGAGTATTGATAATTGAAGGAATTTGGTGATTTTAAAAATAAAAAAGACCATAATGAAAGGGCACAGGTTTGGCAAGATATTACTAAGTTTTCTTTGAGCCTTCTGAATTGAGATAAATATCCCAGCAGAAATATATAAAAACAATTTGACATGAAATGAAATGAGAGGTAAACCTTTAGAAATTGATTTGAAAGTCAAGACTATATATGTTGTTGCTTAATTTTTATATGTACTTATGTCTCTCCAACTAAACTATAATATTTTGGAGAACATTCATTAACCTTACACATGCTTCCTTACACATCCTATAGTGCTTAGCTCAGTGCTATGCATGTTGGAGGTATTCTGTAAATACTTTGAATGGAGAAAGATCAGACATATGCAAACACTTCTCAGAGGGTACAAACTTGACCTGAAACTTAATAGATGAGGAAGATAGTCACCAGAGACAAACATTGAGAACTCTAGACAGAGGAAGTAAGTAGTATGTGGAAAGGCATGAAGGCGTAAAATGACATTTTGTGTTAAGGTAGCTGAAAGTAGGTCAGTTTCTCGAAGTAAGAGATCTGGGCCATAAATATAGATATGATAGTATGTACTGTGAAAAGATAGGTTGGTTGGAAAGGAAGGCATGAGTTAAATCATGAAGAACCTTCTTAAGGAGTTTGTCCTTAAACAATTACTGAAAGATTTGAAGCAAGCATACAACATTTAAATTTTAGAAATATTGCCAGAATGGAAAAGAGTAAGGTAAGACTAAGGTGGGGAAAATCAGATAAAGTGGTACTTTAGGTTAAAGAAAATGGTGACTTTGTGACAGCTGTTAGGAAGTTGAATCAACATGATTTGATAACCGGAAGGTGATTGAGAAGAGTCAACAGTGACTTTGGAGATTATTGGGTATGGTTAAGTAATCAACAGTGAAACCATTTATCAAAATGAGGGCTATTAGGGAAGGACCTGTTTAAGGGAGGGAGTAACTGGAAGGAGGAGAGTAAGTTGTGAGTTTGAGACACTTATGAGATATTCCAGGGTCAGTTTCTCAAGGTAAGAGATCTGGGCCATAAATATAAATATGATAGTTGCCCATGAATTGATGAAATTAAAGCCATGGATCAATACTCACCAGGTGTAATCTTGGGTTCAGCTAAACAGTCAAACGCCCATGACTACAGTGAGCCATGTTTGACTTCAAATAAAGGACAGAAAACACCTCATGTCAACAGTCACCATTCTTCCGTAGGAGGAATCTCCATGGCATCCCACAAAGCAGCCAAAGGGCTCATCTGCTAGGCCCATCTCACAGGGACAGCCCAGCTGTAAGGAAAAGAGATCACAGCGGGTGGGCATATAGCCACTGTGGGTTAGAAACCCCAAGTTCCAAACAAGACCAATATTCCTTGTAATGGCTCCATATGTATAGCTTCCCAGGTCCATGCAAGAGACATGCCCAGCCAGTTATAAGAATTACCACACTCAGAGAAACCCAAAACTATAGCCTCCTGCCAGATACCTATGGTTCATTGACAGTCATCTCAATCCAGATGCAGTTTACCAATGAAGGGTCATTTTTAGCATAATCAATGTGCCTTGTAATACAGTTCAAATCCTACTAATAACCCAGGGGAACAGATTTGAAAAGTTAACCCAAAGTCACACTGGTCCATAAAGAACAGATTTTGTTAACTCTTCACTCACATGCAGATACAAATGAGATCACGCAGACAGTATAAATAAGATCACACAGAGAGTACGTATGAAGAGGGTCACACATCTCCCAATTCTAGCATATACAGGACAAGCAAAGGAAGGGGAGTCAAGAAGGCCCTGAGAAGGAACAACCAGAGAAACAGGAAAGGAATCAGGAAGGCATGATGATAGGGAAGCCAAGGGAATTAAAGCCAGGAAAGGTAGCACTCAGGAGTGCCTATTTGTGCAATTATTAGGTTAATCGGTTAATTATTAGCAAAATCAGTACATTGAAGTGGTAGAGGTAGAAGCCAGATAGCAGTGTGTTAAGGAAAAAATAGAAGTTGAGGCAGCAAAGGCAATATACTTGTAGAGTGCTTATGGGAAAGCCTGTCTGAAAAGGGAAGATGGCAGACAGTTGGAGGGGGGTGTAGGGGCCAGGGGGATTTAGAATGATAAAAAATGCCAAACATTTTAGTGTAGGAGTAATGTGTATTTTTGTGTACAGTTTTTCACTCTCAGCTTTCTTTTTCTGTGTGTCCGTTGTTATCATTTGTGTTATCAGATATTTTTAATAAAACTATACTATGAATGAAAGGACAGAATTTTTTTGTTTAACAGTGTACAGTTTTTTAAAGTCTTAGAAGAGGTAAAATATTAGAACAACTTTGATTTCCCTGTAGCAAACAAACATATAGTTATCATTACAACAAACCTGTGCTAGGACCATTGAATAACATACATCATCATTGTTATATGAGAAACTGGCTTCATTCAAAATTAGAATACATACCTTTCATATTATTATTGTAATATACTATATTGAAATATTCTGTTATGACTATAACTTCATCATATCTATATCTATGTATACATATACACATATAAATGTTATGTATTTGAAAAACAACAGATGTATACAATTTGTAGAGAGAACACTATTCTTTACTTATTAAAAAGTTAAACTTTTCTTCACAGATAGCTAACAATATTAAATAATGTGTTTAAAAATGCTTCATAAACTATAAAATGCTGTATAATATAAGATATTGAAATTAACAATCAGGTGTGTAAGGTTAAGCTGCAAATATTGATGAGCTATTTTTACATTAAAAAAACATTTTCTGGGAAATACAAACCTAAAATCCATTCAGGAACTAAAGTACAGTCATGTGTCTATTAACAACTAGGATGCATTCTGAAAAATGCATAGTTAGGCAATTTCATCATTGTACAAAATCATAGTGTGTTCATACATTTACCTAGAGGGTATAGCCTACTGCACACCTAGGCTATATGGCATAGGCTACATGCCTGTACAGCACATTGCTCTACAAAACAACATGAGAGTAAATCAAGCACGAGAGGAAATGATGCAATCAAGAGACAGTAAACATGAGATATATGAGGCTATTGCCCATGTAACACGGCACACTGTTTTATAACCAACTTTTTTCATAAGTAAAAGGAGTATACTCTAAAATAACGATAAAAAGTATGATATAGTAAATACATAAATAACAGTTGCTTATTTTCATTATCAAGGATGATGCACCGTACATCATTGCATGTGCAATACTTTTATATGACTGGCATTGCAGTAGGTTTGTTGACACTAGCATCGCCACAAACACGTGAGCAATGTGTTGGGCTAAGATGATATGATGGCTACAACATCACTAGATAACAGAAATTTTTAATTTCCATAATAATCTTATAGGACTCCAATTATACATGTGGTCCTTCATTGTCCAGAATGTAATTATGTAGCAAATCACTATAAGGCCAAGAAACAGGGAGTTTCCAAAGAAATGGAGATATATCAGTACCCATAAACAATTGTTCTAATATGGAAAGTATTAATAGCACATAAAAATAATTTAAGATGTTGATAGTGTGGTCTTCTAAAGGAGAAAAAATTATATGAAAAAATGGAAGGCATTCAAAGCTTAAGCCTCAAGAAATAGCAGAGAATGTGTTTGTATGAAAAATGAAGCTGCCTCAGGAAATAATGAAATACAAAAATAATAAGGGACTAACATTAAACATATAAGTAATCAGCCTTTTACCCCATTCCAAATCCTTATCATAATATACTTGACCCTTCTGGTAGATGTAGGGTAAAAGAAGCTATATTTACTCTCATATTAAATTTTTATACTTTAAATTATGTTGTTAGATATCTATCTCCAATATCCATGTATTTGTGGTTAGACCATAAGTTCTAAACCACATGCTACCCTGAGAAATCTGGCCAGAATTGAGTAGTGGTCTATTTGACCTCTATTTGCCCTTTGTACTAGTGGTTTAAACCAGATTATCTAGCCTATATTCATTATCTGTATGACTATCAGACTTCTCAAGGTGAAAATATTCTAAGAGCAAGGAATGAGAAAAGGGGAACCTGAATAAGCTATATACATTTCTCAGCCCATGTGAGAGCACAATGATTGAACAAAGAAGATCATGGATGGATCCTAAGGACAAAAAATAATATTAATCAAAAGCCTAGAGGCAGCCCAATAAGCCAAAAAACATCTTAATAAGGCTATCTCTCTACCTGCCTATCCAAATGCTTTTCCACCTGCGCAGATCCATTCCTGCCTGTCCAGCTGCCTCCACATCTGATCCCTACTTAACTGATCAACCGTCTCCTTCACGGGCCCCATTGCTGTCCCACCATTCCCAAATTCTTCCAAGCTATCCAACTGTTTCTCCCACCCGCCAGCCCTGTATCCTGCCTATCCGTCCATCTGTCCCCTCTACTCTCCCGAAGACCTTTTTACCAGCCCCACTATTGTCCTACCAAACTAAATATCTTCCTCGCCCTCCAGCTGCAGTAGCTCCCAGCTTTTCTAGCAGTTTCCCTTTTCTGCCAGCCCCAATTCCTTCTGGCCCACCTGACCATTTACCACAGCCACCCCGAAGTCCCCCAACCATTCCTGATTCTAACTCACAGAGCAAGTTATTTTATAAAACTTTCAGGCATAAACATTTCCTCCCAGCAGAACATTGTACCCCAGCTACATTAATGCCTGCCCTTGTCCACCGTTCCCTTCCAGCTCAAGTGGTTGTTTCCCCAACCCCTCTGGAAGCTCTCCCAGTTTTGAAGCCTTCCGGTTTATCCAGTCATCCCCCTCATCAAATGGTCCCCACTCTTTCTTATATCACTCCATTGCCTGAACATCCTGCTAGCTTAGGTCCTTTTCAGTCAGTCCAGCAATCTGTTCCACAAACCACATTGTCACGTCTGCCCCAGGCCATGGCAGACCGTCCGGCTGCCCCAGTTCTCTCCCACCCACCTCCCTGCTGTTCTCCACCCTCTTCTTTGTCTTCATCTCCTACTTCTACGCCCTCTTCTTCACCCTCTGTGCAGTTTTCTTCCTCCTCAATCCTTGCTTCTCCTTCACCTTCCTCTTCTACCTCACTATCCTTACCTCCCTCATCTGTCCCTCTTTTTCCCTCACCTTTGCATTCAACTCCCTCTCCATGTTTGCTCCCAACGTATTTAGATTTTCCCTCTCCGATTTCTCCTGTTTCTTCTTCCTTCATGATTTCTTCTTCCTTTCCCCCCATGCTTCAATCTCCCTCTCTTTCTGTCTCCCCATCTCCTTTTATTCCTATCCATCCCTTCAATCATCCTCACTGGGGGAAGAAAGTAGAGAAGAGAAGAGAAGCGAGTGAAGTAGCGAAGAAAGAAATAGAGAAGAAAGAGTTGAGAAACGACAACTTTAAAGGTAAATAAATTGAGTTTATTAGATACTTTGTAGATTTAGCAATATTTTGTTTGGGAATGGTGATTGAAGGGGAAGGAATATGTAAGAATAGAAAAGCCTAAAAGGAAGAAAAAGGAACATACTTTTAATGTTCAGAAATTTGTGTTAAATAACTTATTGCTCTCCCTGTTTTCCCTGTGGTCACAAAAAGATAGTCAGGAATCTAGTACTCGTTGACTATTTCAGTTTGTCCAAATAAAGATATATATGGGTATTGGAGATAGGTATACATCACATATGTCACTTTCCAAAACACTTTTATCTTCATTGACTTGAATAATTGAATTCAAATGAATTAGGAATAAATACCCTTAGGATTCATACTAGTGGCCCTAGTGCAGCAGCAGTTAGCTTTTTAATATACCTCATCCTGATCCCACCCCAACCCAAAATCTTCCTTTGTTTTTCACTCTGTACTTATGCCAAAATGTAACACGCTGTTTCTAGAAGATGCAAAATTCTAATAGAAGATGATGTCATCCCCTGATGATTTTGGGGTGGCATTTTGGCACACTAAAAGCAGACTCTACATTAAAGGTACCCTTCTGTGGCATAAAAACCATGCTTACATATGTGATACAACTGAAAAAAAATGTGTGCACACTCCTCCATGGAGTAAGATCCAAGCACCCAAACCTAGTAAACTAGAATGGAAATTCCTGCCTACCCTGACAAGCAATTTTTATATTTTCTACCTACCTGAATCTTCAGCCAACTCTATTAGAGTTATAGGACTACCTACTAGTCATGACACCAACTCAGAACTAAGAGTAATGCAAATTATTATTATCCAGATAGGAATGCTCTTAAAGAAATGAGGACTGAATCTACACATCTATAGGAATTCCTTCTATATCTGTCCTAAACAATAGATGAATAGAATTTAATAATCAAAGCCTTAAATAGACATTCCTACATGAAGATGGAGTGCTTTATTGGAACTATAATCCCACAACCATATTTATTCTACTGTTGACTGCCTTAAATTCCCATGCTAATATGTCTATATATTTCTCCAATATCCTTATATGTGATTATCTGGACACACACACACATACACACACTACATGAATGTGTAATTATATGTATGTAAAAAGAAGTTAACTTTATTTAAATGTACTAAGCATTTTTTTATGTATGGTTCACAGAACTATAGATAATGCCTTGCCTTCATCACTGTCAAAAAATGACCAGAAGCATCAGAAACATCTCTTATCCAAAATCAATTGTGGTAAAGAAATGAAGGAAAACAGCAGGATGAACTTGGCTACTAACAAAGATGCATTCCAGCTTAAACTAGTGGAAACTCAGAAGCTCCTAGAAAATCAGCATCTAAGCAGTTTGCAAGTATGAGACTATAAATATGGTATTACTATTTTAAGATCTAGTAATAATTCTGTCCATTTTTGCAGTGTTCTCCACTAAAGAAATGTATGCCAGTTGCCAAGGATAGGCCATGAAAGAGAATGTGGAGGAATCAGCATAAATTCATCACAAATACTAGAAAAAATATTTCTTAGTTTTTTCCTTACCTTTTATTCATTTTTCCTCTGCTTCATCTATTATTCTTTTTCCATCTCATATTTAGAAAAATATGCTTTATGAATGTTATTTTCTGACAAACATGAAAGCTATTTGAAATTACAATGTAATATAAGTGTCACTGTTAGAGACTAGATTATAAAAGCAACCTGAAAATTATAAAGCATGTGGACATTAGGCGTGTAATGAAAATAGAGCACAATTAGCTAGGAATGGTATTTATATTCTATTTCTTAGGGCACTTACTTTGTTATTTTCCCACCAATGAGTGGAATTTCAGCTGATTTTCCTGAAATGTTCATGCACTTTATTTTTTTATAAGTAATTACACATATTTATCAGATTCCTAGTAGGTTGATATTAAGAGTAAATTCATAACCTTGGACTGATTCGTTCAATAGCTAAGCAATAGTTGCAAGGTTATAAAAGGAAAGTAGGAGACTTCTGGCTATGATAAAATGCCTTCCTGCCATAAACAACTATAATTATGAATAAAAGGTATGAAACAAATATTTTTAGACATTACACAATAGGCAGTACAGCATATGATCTTGAAAAACAAGGGAAACAAATGAAATAAGCCCTAGATTACATAGGCTTTTTACCTGGACATAATCTCTGGATAAGCCTCAAAAAATCCACAAGTTAAAAAACACTCTCTTAAAGAAGATGCACAACATAATGCTCACAATGTCCAACATTTAATCACAACTTAACATGTGAAAAAGCAAGAAAAAAATAGCCAATAACTAGGAAAAAATTAGTCAATATAATCAGATGAAGAAATGACAGAGATGATGGAATTAACAGGGATTTAAAACCATTCTTATAAATATTTTCAAGGAATTAAAGTAAAAGTGAACATAATAAAAAAGGATATTTTAAAGGAACTAAATAGACCTTCTAGATCTGAAAAGCATAATATTTGAAACAAAAATTTCACTCGATGGACTTAACAGTGTAGGTATTATAGACAAAAAGATGAGTGGGCTTGAAGACATGGCAATAAAAAATATTCAATTGAATAACTGAGAGAAAAAGACTGGAAATAAATGTGTAGAACATTACTTACTTGTAAGACAATATCAAGCAATATAATATACATTTAATTAAAATCCCACAAAGAGGAGAGGGAGTATTTAAAAAACAGTGAATTAAAATGTTTCAAATTTGATAAAACTATAAATCCACAGATCCAAGTAGTTCAACAAACACACACATACACAGACATACACACCATGAAGGCACATCAAAATCAAATTAAGCCAGAAGAGAAAAGATACATTACATGGATGCTAACAAAAATAAGGTGGACCACTAACTTCAAGCCAAAAGACAGTGAAACAACATTTTTTTAAGTTCTGAGAGAAGGAAAAAATGACCAATCTAGAATATTGTATCCAACTAAAATATCCTTCCGAAATTAAGGTGAAATAGGCATTTTCAAATAAACAGCTGAACACCACTGCACTACACCAGCATCTGCACTACAAGAAATGCTACGGAAAGTTTGTCAGGTGGAAGGAAAATCACATGATATGAAAATTCAGATCTATAGTGACAGAAAGCAGATTAGTGGTTGTTATGGTAAATAGGGATTGACTACAAAGAAGCATGAGAAAAATTATGGTGAATGGGAAAGTTCTATATATCGTTTGGTATGGTGGTTATGGGTGAATAATTTGTCAAAGCTCATTGAACTACACATTTAAAATAGGTGCATTTTATGGTAGATAAGTATCCTCAATAAAATTGATTTTAAAACTTAAACATGAAGCATGTTAAGTCTAGTATAGTTTATATCAGTAACTTCCAAGCAAAACTTGCAGCTGATCATAATGTTTCACTGTTTAGTGGTGAGAAAAATTCGGGGGGGAAAAAGTATAGTGTAATGAAATCAGAAATTACTGAATTTCTTTTGAGGTGCTTTGGGAGATGAAGCCATTACAGAACTACTCATACAGAAATCTTAGAGTCATGAACATCATACAGCTAGAAGGACCTTATAACCCAGATTACATCTCATTAGATGCAATCTCAAAGGAAGTCCTCCAAGCCTACTTTCATTATTATTATTAATTAAAATGACTCAGTTTCAAAAACAGGCATTGGAGGAGTTATGCTCAGTTTTATTCTCCTAATTAGGTTGAAGTGACCAACACTTTAAAAAGAGATCACAGTACTGAAGGGTATGATAAGCAGGGGCCAAATGCTGGTAAGATCAAACTCCCATGAATCATTTTCAAAACCTATGTCACAGCAATATATCAATTAGTAAACATTAACTATGCAACTTAAATCATTTCTATTCTATAACTGATTTTCTTGGTTTCTTAGTTTATTTTGGGGGCTAGAAAAATAATGTGTTTTGGTTTAATATCAGAATATTTTTCTTTTCTAAAATTTGTGAAAAATCTTAAGGGACACTAATTTTCTTTCTTTGAGTCCATTTAACTTTTTTACTACATTTACAATTTTACATATTCTTGGAATTTATTTTTATATATGTGATACAAGATTAATGTTTAGATATGTGTGAGAAATTAGAAACATTTTACCACATTTACCATACTTTGGAATGATAATGAAATTTTATTAAAGACTGATAGGCTTCTCTTTCTGTGGGATAGCCCATTCTCTGTTTCACTGCTTCACTAATAAACTTACTTTCACTTTAAACTCTAAAAAAATAAATAATCTTAAAAAAAAAAAAAAGACTGATAAATTCCAGGATATTTCAGTGAATAGTGATGAGAATGTCTATGGAATTTATGGAAATTATTACTATGTAAATCTCCAAAAAAAGAGCCACTAAAAATTAAGTTCTCAACCCTAAGTCCATATTAGAATTACTTGGGGAATTTAAAAATAATAATAATACCAATATATGGACCCCACCCAAGTATTAAATCAGCAAGACTCAGACACATATTTTTACAAAGCTCCTTATGTAATTCGAACATGAATCCAGCATTGAGAACTCTCCTATGTAGAGCATACATTACCTTTTATAAAAAGATGTACCCCTTCCAATAGGAAATTCATATTAGGATCATAGAGCTTTTAGGAGCTTCATTCAAGTCCAGTGAATGTTTCAGGAAAAAATGCCATTTGTAAATAACTTTTTCAGAATTTCACATGCTATTATGAAACCTTCAAGAAAAAAATGGAATAGCAATGGAAAAATTATTTTTAAGCTATAATTGTGACTAGAATAATTGTGTAGTTACTTTAGGCTTAGAAATTAAGGCTAAAATGTTATTAAAGTCTTTGCTAGCTCCCTCTTACTGTTTATAATCATTTTACCATATTTTATATGCCAAGGAGAATTGGGTTCAGTAATAACGATGTGTTGAATCATAAATTTTGGCATTTACAAAATTTCTAAGCTTTAAAACTTTGTTCTTTTTTCTTTCAGAAATTTTGTGATGAAGTTAACCAGATAACAAATTCTGAAACCCTCTCAAGTATAGACAGTCTTGAGGCTGGAGAACATGAAGAAATCTATTTAACACTTACTAATAAGGAGCCTTCCACATCAATTCAGCAGAATTCTATTTTCCTCAAATCAGCAAATCTACAATCAACTAATCTAAGTTGCTTTGATGAAGATAAACTGTCATTCTCTAAAACTCAACTTATAAATAATTGGCTAATAAGTTTAGATGATCCAAATATTCAAACTGTCACACCTTTCTCAGATATTTTAAGTAAACCTAATATTCTACCTTCACATGAATGTTTTAATAGTAAAGAACAAAATCCATCTACTCTACATGTAGAAAGAGTCACAAATACTACTAATAATTTAGTAGACTTTGTATGTAGTCCACCCATATTTGTACATGATAAAAAAACCAAAAAGACCTCTGAAACCAGCACTCTGAAGACAGCTGACTCCTCTTCTAGGGCATTCAAAAGAGAGAGTACATTAGTTACTGAGAGCCCAACACTTAAATGCAGCACAGCCTGGAACACTCCAGATTCTCTAACCCAAGAAATGGCTACTATGTCAGACCAAGTGAAATATTCTGAATTAACTCAAGAAAACAGAACTACTTCGATTCCTACTTCATTTGCACCTGTGGAAACATCTTTAATTTTGCCATCTAATACACAATCAGCTGAACCTTTACCAAAGAACAGTATACATATAAATGAAATCAACCCAGTGCAGTGTTCTGATAAGTTAGAGGAAGTGAAAGATGTTAAAGATGAAAAGATAAACTATTTTAGTTCTAGTAAGATAGAGTTGCCTTTATTTTCAGACAATTTTCCAGATGCTTGTATACCTCACAACTCTGATTCAAAAGATAAAAAACAGAAAATAACTGAAACATCAACATTATTGTCTAATGTAATTTCTAATTATGACTTAGTTGGTCAGCACAAGAAAACAAAATATAATATTCATGAAAGAAGCAGTGTGAGGTTTCTAAAAAGTATTTTAAAGAAAGAATCTAAATACGAGCATGATTATTTTAAGGCCCTAGTTATAAATCAAGGCCTTAAGTTAGGAAATCAAAAAGCAGAAGCTATCAGAGATAGTATTGAATTAACAAAAGAAAAAGGGAAAGGGGCAGAAATTCCAAAGACTATGAAAAAACTGAGGTGGTTTGATGAAACTGAAGATACAAGAAAAAATGCTGATGGTAATCATTCCCTGAAGGATGGAATAGAAATATCTCAACAGCAGTCTCAATCATTGCACATTCAAACTAATAGTGATGCTGCTAGCAACATAATTAGTGTCCCTGCTTGTGCTGTAAATTCTTCTAATAGGAAAAAGCCCAAGGATGATTTTATCTCTGAAAATGTTAATGCTTTAGGAGGATCTGGAACAAACCACATGTCTTTGAACTGTTTTATACCTCCAGATTTTAACATTGCTAAACAAAGCTGGCCATCCTCAGAAAAAGAAGAAAGTAAATCTCCTATACATAGTGGTGATTCTACAACTCAGAAAGCTAATCTACAAAGAGGTAGAGCAAAGGTAATTAGGACAAAATCTGCTAAAGTCCAGTCAGGGTTTGTGTATCCAAATAGAAAAGGCACTGTTATTCAAGTGCAGTCTGCAAGCAAAGCCAACGCATTTTTACAAGCTCAGGGTAAATTAATTGTCCCTCATCCTCCTAAATCTGCACCAAATGTTAGGAGTGATAAAAATATACAAATGTCTCAGTGTCAATCAGAAATGCCTGAAAATTCCCAAAACATGATTACAAATAACTATTTCGATTTGAAACATGTGCTTCCAACAGAACACAAGTTGAATCAATGGAATAACGAAAGTAGTCTTCCACTCTCACATGTTTGTTCTGACACAAGCACTGTGATGCCATCTCTACAATACTGTTCTTCTGAGTGCCAAACTTTAGCAAAAATAAATCATTCAAGTGGCACTCAAACCATTGCGCAGCAAGATGGGACATTACACTGCACTCAAAGATGTCCTGTTTATGAAGACAGTCATCACTCTGTGGCTTTTAGACCTACCAAAGAAGAATCTATTCCCTCTTGGAAAAGACAGCATAATATTCTGGGTCAAAATGAAAAGGCTGCTGGTAAGAATAAATGTATATATTTTTATAGATAAAACGTACAACTTTTTAAATTCATGTGAAATTTTTTTTATTAAGGTACAGTGATATATACCTTATAGATATTAATGTTAAATAATAACTATAGGAACAACTTATCTTCCTTACTATTGTTCCTGTATATCTAATAGCTGAAGTTTTTAAGAGAATTACCCAACCTTTGCTCAACTAAAATTAGAAACTTTCGCTAGCCTCCATTTTTTCCATCACTTTTCCAGGACAAAGAATAGGGTCTAATTGCTATCCCATGCCATTCTGTCATTACCCCAATATTATAGTCAAAATGTCTATCAAAATAATCTCAGTAAAAATATTGTTTAAATTATTCTAGATAGATGAATAAATGTTGTTATAATACTTTTCCTTATTTTTGTTTTACATATTTGTTAAATTGACTTGTTATAAGCTAATGATAGATATGCCAAACCCATCCATCCCCTTTCCAAAAGAATGGCAGCTCTACTGTTATCTGTTATATAAGTTGGTTTTCATATAGAGAAAAAAATGATAGCATTCCTTTAAACATTTTTGAAAAATATTCCTCTATAGAATTTCATTCCCTGTGTAGCTGGTTGATGCCTCATATAGCTTCTTTCCTCTGAGGGAATGGACTAGGAGACCATAAATTCTCCTTCCAATGGGAATCAGTTGCCTATTGAGAAATAGATAGGACTTGGGGTAGGGCGGAAATCAGAAAAGTAATACTTTTCTTTTCCCAATAATAAATATTAAGAAGATATAGAGAGTTAGTTTAAAATTGAGTATTTAAAGTCTTCTTCAATTAGACCATGAGATTTTAAGAACAAGGGACTTTTTTTGTATGTAATTCATCATGTATCCGCAGGTCCTAACTGTGCCTGGCACTTAATTTAGACACCTAGACTTTTCTTGAATTGAATGGACACAAGCCATATTGGCAGGTGGAAAGCTAAATGCAAAGCCTCTAATCTAAAAATCTTCAATACTTATCTACAAAAACTATATTTTAAAAAATTATATCTCTCACTAGAGTGGAATCAAGAGTCTTCCATTCTCCTATTTGTTCTTACTATGATGCCATCTCTTCTTATCCAGTCATTTCACCATGTAACTTTAGTTTTCACATTGCTTCCAAAAGATGAAAGCATCATACAGATTTGACATTCTAAAGTAATAATGATAAATAATAATTCTTACCTTTTTTGAGTTTCTACTCTGTGCCCGTTACAGTGCCAAGTGCTTTATACTTATTGTCTCATTTAAACCTCACAACAATCCTGAGAAATAAGTATTTTTTATAACACCATTTGCAAAGAAGGAAATAGGATTGCCCAAGGTCAAGAACTAGAAAACAGCAAAATTGATACTTTAATCTAAATATCTATGACTCCAAGTTCCATGCTTTTTTCACTAAAATTATATAATAAATATAGTTATTAAGTAAATATCATTTATCAGAGTCTAAGCTGATCAGGAAAAAATATTAGGGAACATAGTTTCCCAGTAGCTTGAGCATAAAAGGATAACATATTAAAATTATGTTCTCATTCTCATAATTTTAACCTGGAGAAAACTATTTAGTCAAATGAGGCAGTTCTGAGGGGTGTTTGAATAAGGAACACTGGAAAATGTAATGAAGTTTAACACTTTCAGCCATGGTTTTTAAAGAGATAGATGTATTCAGACTGTTGTACATGTCTATACCTCTTAATACAGTGATTATACTTAGAAACTCTAATACTAACAATACTAAATACTTTGTATGTTCAGTCACTCAAGCTTATATTTCAAAACTATTTCAATATTAAATATTGTAAATGAACCCTTTGTCTATACTGGATTATAGTTCAATGAACGTCTACATTCATTTGTTTTCCTGCTCTCCTATTTACCAGCTCATTTTTATTCTCACACTCAGTGTACCCAGGGTTGAAAATTATGGAAGGCATCTGCCTCTCCATTAGCATTTCCAGAACTCTCTAGCAAAACTCTCCAGTAAAAATTCTATTCCCTTGAGGCCTAAGCCATTCAACTCTACCACCTCCTGCCCTTTCAAGTCATTTCTTCCCTCAAAGATGACTTTGGCGTCTGGTTCACAGTCTTCCTTTCTGTGCAGTCTTTGCCAAAATACTGCTGGTTCAGCATTCATGTGGAAAAACAATCCAACACTCTGCTCTCTCTCAATTCTTTCTCATCTCTAATGATTTTCTGTACCATTCTGCCTCAAGTACCCATTCCCTTTGTCATACTCTGGTCCTTGTCAACACCCATAACTCCTCTACATCTAAAATCAGCCATTCAATTTACTTCCTCCTCTCTGGCTACAATATGGTATCTGCACAAGGATATTTAGACCAATGGAGAGAATTCAGTTTAAAAACAGACCCACATATTTGAGACTCACATGCTTGATTTTTGGCAAAAGTACTGCGTAGCAGGGAGAAAAGACTTGTCTTTTCATTAAATAGTGCTGAATCATTTAAATGATCATATGGCATTAGTAAAATGACCCTTGACTCACTCACACCATGCATAAAAATCAATTCCAGCTAAACTATAGATATAAATATGGAATATGAAAAACAAATTCTTCTGGAAGATAACATAGACTTTAGAATGGGCAGAGATGTCTTACCCAGACATAATAACACTAACCATTAAAGAGAGGTTTGATAAATTGTACATTAAAATTTGAAACTTTTTCATCCAAAAATACCATTAAGGTATCGAAAAGGCAAACCACGGAGTGAGAGAAGATATTTATAATGTATGATACTGACAAAGAGCTCATATCTCAAATGCATAAAGAATTCCTACAATTAATAAGAAAAAGACAACCCAATTATATCAGTCAGTGTTCAAGTAGAACCAATAAGATATATTAAGATTTCTTGCAAGGGATTGGCTTATGTGAAAATGGGGACTGTCTAGACAAGTCTGAAATTTTTAGGGCAGGCCATGTGGGAAGGGGCAGGCCAGAACTCACAGGGACAGACTAAAATTGCTATGCACAGGCAAAATTTTTTATTCTTTTCAGGAAGCCTCAGTTCAGCTTTTAAGGCCTTTGAACTGCTTGAATCAGGTACACAGATTATCTAGGGCAACCTCCCTTAAAGCAAACTGATTATGGATTTTAATGACATCTACAAAATACCTTCACAGCAATAGCCACATTAGTGTTTGGTTGAATAACTGGGGACTGTAGAGTAGGTGACACATCAAAAAGACCATCGCTCCGGTGTGTTTTTTAAAACCAAAATATTTGAATAAGCTTTTCATTAAAGAAGATAGCCAAATGGTCAATAAACATGAAAAGATCTCAGCCAACTGGAATTAAAACAATTAAGATACAGCTTTATTTTGAGTTTTGGTAGTAAAACTATCATATCTAGAATTTTTATAGCAGACTAGAAATTTGGCCAGATATGCCAGTGCAAACTATATTATTTTTGCAAAAATACCAAGTTTTTCAACTATTATATTAATTAGTAGATAGCATTTAAATGCATGTGTATGAATGGAACAAAACATCAACAGTTTTAAGCATATACTATATCTGTTCCTGAGATCAGTAAGGTACAATCCATAAAATTGAACATCTACACAAAGAACAGTAAAGCACAAAAACAAATAATTATGTTACAAATCAAGGAAGTACAAAAGTGTTGGTAGATCTTGCCTCTAGAAGATTTAAGAACAGGTTGAAGGAAGGGAAAAATTCTTGATGCAGCAGTCATATGGCCAAGTTAATTCTCATTTAAAGTATTTTTAAAGCTCTTCAAAAATGCAAAAGTAGGGACTTCACAAGATTTAGGGGAAGATAATTCAAGAATAGAAAACAGTCTAGAAATTTTATTGCTGTCCACATGATCTCACTAGAAACTATGACATTGGTTAAGAGCTAGAATTTTAGATTTCAGAGACTTAACTGCTTGAAGCTAAATCTCAGCTTTTGCCCTTGACTGGCTCTGTGACTTTAGGCAAGTTATTTATCTTTTCCTCTGTTTTCATTTGTCTGTAAAAATAGTGATAATAGTGTCTACAGCTTTAGAATAGCCTGGGCAATTATAAATGCTCAACAAATATTGGCTAGAACTATGAAGTTGAAAGCTTTGTGTCTTTATTGTTATATAGATTAGACTAATATATAGTTCTATATAGTTATAGTTAGCTTATTAAATTTTGGGGGGTGACAATGGTTAATATGATCATATAGGTTTCAAGTGTGGGTTTCTATGTTACAAGATCTGTATATTGCACTGTGTGCCCACCACCCAACATCAGATCTTCTCCTGTCACCATATATTAAATGTATAGTTACAGTATATGCATACAACTATGTACATGTGTATAGCTACATATAGAAAAAATATATATTAGCTATAGTGACATAAATTAGATTCAATATTCAAACTCATGTTCTCCAGTATATAATTTCAGGGCTAAAAATATGTTCATTTTTCTCTCTTACCTCAACTTTTATCACAAAAGCACACATACACACACTCCCATATATTTCCCAAGACATTTGTGTGCCTACACTCATACTCATATTCTGTGCCCCAGACAAATTGAATTTTCTACCTCTCAGCCTCCAAAAACTTCTTAACATCTTCATCATTGTTAGTTTGTGCCTTTGTATAGAATGTTCTTTTTGACTCAAAAAGTTCTTTTACTTGGGAACCTACTCCCCCTTTAAGACCAAGGTCAGGCATAACCTCTGTGAAACCTTTCTTGATTCTTACAAGGACTCTCTATCCTCTGTACTTTCACTTAATTTTGTTTATAGCACTGCATACAATTTATGTGTATTCCTTTTACTGTAATAAGCCATTTAAATTCTTCTAAACTAATACAGAAAAATTTTTATTGTACCACTATTAATAAAAATTTTGAGCACATATATATATATGCCATATACATGTATTACTGTACTAATATGCCTGAAGCAATTTATTCAGAAATAGAAATTTTTACACAATGAGATAAATATGAAGTAAAGACTTTTAAAATAATTTTGAAATTTTGTATTTTATAAATAATACACTTTAAAATAATTATAAAATTTTATCATATACAAAACTTTTTCTATTATATGTTATTAATAATACTCTGAAAACTTGGTTTCAAATGTCTTACCAATTATGATGACTTCATTTCATATACCATCATTAGTTAATACCTCCAGGCACAATATGCATTTAGGATGAAGTTTATTATTATGATTTTTGGGGTAATTTTTTATTTGTGATCCTAACTTTGTGATAAACATAATTATACTGTCATTGTCATTATGTGGCAAAGAGTTTGTAATGATAATAAGTGATGTGTCAGCTGTGCCTTTCTTATCTACCTGTGCTTGCATTATTTGTACTATCTTTGACCTATGATTTTGCAAGAATATATTTTAATTCTACAAAAAGCATAGAAAAATAATATAAATACTCATATACCACCACTCACCTTAAATAATAAAACATTACACATGTAATGGAAGCCCTACAAAAGTCTTTTCAGCCTCTTTCTCATTTTGTGGGGACTCATTCAGATACTAAGAGATATCCATAATTCACTTAACTAGAGCACACGTAATATTTAGTACATTGAAGAAAGCAAAAGTGCACTAATTAATAACACTGCCAACCCCACACACTTAGAATCTCTACTGTTGCTCTAAAATAACTTTGTTTCTGTGTGCGATAAATGACCATTTACCTTGCAAACTGACAAGGGTGCCAGTGTTAACCATACACAAACTTCCCATTGGCGGTTGGAAACCCGCATGTGCGTGATCCCAAGGCCAACTTAAGTTATACAGGATTTTCCACTGCATGAGTGGTCAGTGCAACTAACAGCCCCCACCTGCATTGTTCAGTGGTCAACTGTATTATGATAGTATAAAGTTTAATTACTAATTTTTAGATCATAAATATAGAGTAGAATTCTATTATCTTCCTGCACAGCAGTGATTTATTTTGGTGTTGCGCCAGACTTGGGAGGTCACTGCTCTAAACGATAAACACCTCAAAAACAGATTTTTTTTAAAAAAAATTTACTCAATTTTTTAGAGAGAGAGGAAGGGAGAGAGAAACATCAGTTTGTTTTCCACTTGTTTTTGCATTCATTGGTTGACTCTTGCATGTGTCCTGACTAGTGTGAACCCATAACCTTGGCATATCGGGATGAAGCTCTAACCAACTGAGCAGAGGTTGGTTAGAACCCAGCAGAGGTTTTGTTTAATTCATCATTGTATCTGTGCCATGCATAGTACATATTAGAAAATAGTATGGAAAACAATAAAAGTTTGCTGACTGAATGAAGCAGAGTTTTCTATGATGTTTGAAGGTAATTTGAAAGTTTGTGGTAGATATATACTACTTACTCAACTTGTATAAATTTGATATTGTGCTGGCATTTGTTTAAGATTCTACTGTTACGAGAAGAAAACGAATTGTTGAAAATAAACAAAGAAATCTTTTAGAGCAGAAAAAGCAAAAGCCTGGATCTGTAGGACAGAAGTGCAGTGAGCAAATGAATGTAAGTACATTATTAGTAAAAATCTCTATTGAATGGTGGAAAATTGCTTGGGAAACAGAAAGTTCTTAAAGGACTGTGCCCTTGCTGTAAACTGTGCCCCACCACAAAAATACAAGTACATCCAAAGCCATTGTGAAGTAGCCTTGGAATCTCTCTGCTAGGAGCTTGCTATAGTATAATTATTTGCTATATAGTCAACTCTGGAAAAAGCTGAGGTTATTCATAACAAAGTTATTTAAATATATATTAAGAAAGAAAAGAGAAGTAAATTAGATCCATGGGTAGAGGAAGCATGTTTGTTTGCTAATCATAAAGACTAATATAGTTCCCTGTGTTCAAATATCCTATTTGGATCTGAGCTTCTTGGAAGACATGGTAAAAAGGAAAATATGATGTTATACAGGTCTCAGCAGATATTGATATGATTTTGTTTGAGGTATATTATTTAAAAGACATTTCCCATTAAGGATCTTCTAGAGTGGACCTTGAAGCTCATAATGGACATATCCCTACTAACAGTCAATAACAAATGAATAGGGAGTTTCATATGGCTGTGTGAAATAGAGATCTTCAATAAAAGTCAAAAGCATAATACTATTAATTTTAAAATTAGTGGAGGTAATTCTGTGAGAGTTAAGTAAATGTGACCTAAATATGACATTCTCTAGGGGTCTAACTTGATCCAAGAACTGAATTTAAAATATTGAAAATTCTAGGTGGGTGAGTGAATAGCATTTCACTTGGAGTTTCTACTGTAAATATCACATCTAATTTTTTAAATAAAACTGGAATAGTGCCTTATGAAGAATTTATATTTCAAGTTATAGGTTGAGGATCCTATTATTTGTTATGCTGTAGAAACTATTGATTTTTATGTGAATAAGATAATATGGAGAACAAACAACTATGATATATCTTATCAGCAAAACAAAAGTCACTTATATAAATTAAGTTGTCCTATTATCAATATATTCTTACTGCTTAATACCAAACATAGCACTTATTATAAACATAACTTCCTGAATATAAATAAGTCCTTCTTTTTAACTTCCATTTTATTCACATCAAACATCTCAAAATCTATAAACTGGACAAAATTTTTTATTTATTTTTATTAATATATTTTAAATTTAAAAGTAGTTGTTATAACAGAAATGCATTTGTTACATATAGTTGTTATAACAAAAATAACACGAACTAAATTTTAAATGGCTGCTATTAGTGCCCTCTCTAAATTCATCTTTATTTTTCTGGGTTTTATTCTGTTCTGCCTTCCTCCTTTGCATTTTATATTAGTCTTTTGAGTTCCATTTTTGACCCTCTGTCCAGAAGACTTGCTTCCTGTTTCACATCCACATCTTCCACTCACACACCCACTTTGCTCAGGTTCCAAAGTTAGCTTTAGAATACACGTCAGTGTTCCTGAATCAAAATCAAGTTTGAAGTTTAATTTTTTCAATTTTATTGTATTGCTTTGATTTGGGGTTTTGGGTTTTGTGGGGGTTTTGTTTTTTGTTTTTACTCAAACTGGGAGTTTTAGTTACTAAAGCACTGACCCCTGTCACCTTGTATTAGGAAATGTATTTTATCATCCCGGATTTTTCCCAGGCCACCATTTCTGTGAGAATCTAAGAGATCAGCTAAAGATAGAAAAAGCACAATTACCACTTTGTGCCAGGGTCTCAGTCCAGGGTGTCTCAAGTCTATAATGGAGATGAGGCAAGGCTACAAGAGCTACTGAAAGAGCTGTTGCAGAAACCTGCATCGGCTACTCTTCAGAACAGACTGAACAAAGGCGGGGTATGGTCACAGCCAGGCAGTTTTATCAGTGAAAAGGTCATTTCTTAGAGTGGAACAGGAGGGGAGCAAATAAGCAAAGTAAAACATATCCAGGGAGGGAGAGTTGGTATAGATCAGAGAGTGCTGAATGGGTGTACTAACTGCTGGTGCTCTGAGATTTCCCATTTCCCAGTTCTGGGCAGCATTGGGGCAGCTATTTCTAATTTAAGTTTTATCATCTAAGACCTATCCTTGGCATTAGCCATAATCTGAGGCTTTAGATTAGCAGTAATGATTTACCATTACTGTGATAAATCAACTAGATTATAAACCTTTAGGTAATTTTTTACCTTTCCTTAAATTAGCACTTTTGATTGTCACCCAACTTACTTCTGTCTTCCAAATATCCAAGACAACACTGCAACCTGAAGTTTTCAAAATTGAAATAAAACATTTTTTATTAATATTCAGGTACCATAGAAAGGCCTTATTTCAGTAATTCTTGATTTCTACTTTAAAAAAAAAGAAAATATACAAGTTACATGAACAGTGACAGCTGAAAATATATACATCAAATACTTTTTTAAAAGTCATGAAATTTAAATACAGAATTATGTTGATTTAATATTCTATTTTTATAGAATTTTGGACAAAGTGTCCAGCTAAGTTCAAGTGAGCCAAAACAAACAAGAGGTACTTCTAATATTGAAGAAGGTATGTTCTAGTTTAAACACTTTCCTCTGACCTTTGTTCCCAGTGATTTTTTTTCTTATATGTATTTTCCCAAATACTTACATAATATGTGAGTGTTAAACCACTATTTGGGACTTAATTCTCCTCACGCTGCACATTTAAGTTGTTACCAGTTTTTCTTTTTCTAAGTAATAATGTACCAAACATCTTTCTACATCAAGCCTTCTCTTGACTTTTCAATCATTTCCATAAGATAGAGTCACAGAATTAAAATTATAGTAATTGGTACCTAATACATATTTATTGAATGAAAGTCTGTGTGTTACATAAATTCTGGATGAAAGTATATAAGCACTGTTATGGCTTTTCATACATATTCCTAAAGTATTTTCTTGAGTGTATTATTCAGAATTCTCTGGGTTGTGCTAACTTAAGGTAAATCACTTCTATTATTTACTTTTATCACAGGAAAAGAAATGGTGTTTCGTTAGTTTTGATTTGTACATCGTTTTATTAATATACTTAATTGTTTTTGTACGTATATTTATTATTGGTGAATTGTTTTTTCATGTTCTTTTTCCCTGTAGATATTGGAGTTTTGGTACTTTCTTAGCAATTTCTGTAAATTATTTAAATATAAAGGATTCTAATCCTTATATTAGTTGCAAATATTTTTATTATTTTATTATTTGTATTTCATTGCACATATGTTTTATTTTTACAAATAAAGGTCTTATTTTATATTTTTTCATTCAATAAATGATTATTGAGAGCTCACTTCCTACCTGCAGGTAAATATTGGATATACAATAATGAACAAAACTTACGAAAGTTTTGTCCTTCAAAATTTTAAAGTCTATTAGGGATGACTGGCCTTAAATAAATATGTCTTTAGTCATTTTAGTGATTTCTCCATTACTTGTAAGTTAAAAAAAAACACACCTTAATATAGAAATTTAGACATGTTCTTTTTTTCCTCTAGATTGCTTTAATAGCTTGAGTTATTAAATTTAATTCTTTAATTTCTTTGGAACTTGTTTAAATGGATGGTATGAAGTAAAACTCCAAATTGATTCTTTTTAAACAACAAACTAATTTATTGTGTCATCTTTCCTTTCTCTCATCTTTGAACATAATGTTAAATTCCTATATCTAATTTGATCTGTTTCTAGGCTGTCCTGTTCAGCTTATCATCTAATTTTTCTAATCTTTCCTTAAGTTTCTTTGCTCTTACTCTTTTATTTATAACTCATCTTAATCGCTATTTTAAAGATAATCTACTTTATCTTCTCTTTGTACCCAATGAATGACACACACAAAAAAAACACAAAATAATTTAAACAGAATATCTTTTTTCTTTACTTCAGACAACACTCTGTAGGAATTGTTATTACCTCAATGCCACCATTTGATTATCTTTTTTTAAAAAAAATTAGGGATGGGGAAATGCTAGATATAGAGGATTCTGATAAAAAAAAAAAAAAAAGCAAAGTAACAGAAGATTCACTGTGTTTCTGTTAGTGAAATGAATACATACAGACATGTCAGTTAAGTGTGTGTAAGTGCTGATCCTAAAGACAAATAGGGATTAAAGAATAGTTAATGTACCAATGGATTAAAAAACATTGAGACATTTATACAATTGAATACTATGCAGCTGTTAAAAAGAAGGATCTCTTACCCTTTGAGGCAGCAGGGAGGGACCTGGAGAGTATTATGCTAAGAGAAGTAAGCCAGGCAGAGAAAGACAAGTATCACATGACCTCACTTGTATGTGGAATCTAATGAACAAGATAAGCTGACGAACAAAAAAGATCCAGAGACATTGAAGCATGCAACAGACTGACATATTTCAGAGGGAAAGCGGGTGGGGGGAGAGATTAACCAGTGAATGCATATGCGTACATGCATAGCCCATGGACAGACAGTAGTTCGGGAAAGGCTTGGGGAGGGGGTGGGAGCAGGGTGGATGAGGTCAATTGGGATGGCAAAGGGGGACATCTGTAATACTTTCAACAATAAAAATAAATTTTTTAAAAATAATAATTAATGTAAAGTTTCTTTAGTTTCAGACAGTACTTCTGAGTTTTTGATGGCTGAAAACCTAGTGAAATCTTCAGTGCCTGAGGATGAAATTCTAACTGTCATGAGTAACAAGCAGCTACAGAAACCAAATCTGGCTTTAAATAAGACCCAGCAATTGGACATTTGTGTACTGTCAGCTGAAGAACAGAAGATTCTGCAGTCCCTTAACTGTCTCAATGAAAGGTTATACTGTAAGTGTGGAAGAACACCTTTTGTAAGAAGGGTTATATTTTGTACTTAGACTATTTTAATTTAAAATTTAATTTAACTTAAAAATTGAAAGTCAAAATACAAAATGTATCCAGATTATCACCTCTTAAATCAAGTACATAACAATTAAAATATCTATTTGAATATGTCATACTATTATACCATATTCATATTCTGCTTATAAATAAGATATTTAAAACATAAGGATATGGAAAAGCTTAAAGTAAAAAGGAAGGAAAATCTGAACAAGCAAATTCTAACCAAAGGAAACTGGTTTAGATGTATTATTATCAGACAAAATTGACTATGAAGCAGAAAGCATTACTGTACATACAGAAAAAATAACTCTGTGTTGTCAAAATTTTAATTTTGGAGAAATATTTGTGATATTTTCACTTTGTATATATTGAAGAGAATAGCCTCAAAATATATAAAATATTTTCTAGCCATGGTGAGAGTTTTTTTACATTGCCAGTAATTGATAGACTATACCAAAAAAATCAACTAATATATAAAAATCAAGCATGATTAACAAACTTCATCAAAGGGACATGTTCTTTGCAAGCACACATAGAATATTTATAATGGACTGTATATTAAACCATAAAACAAGCCTTGACACATTTCAAAGGATTGAAGTTATGCACATCCTCTGACAACAATGCAATTTAATTAAACATGAATAACAAAATGATAACCATTAAGAAACACATTTCTAAATAAACCATGGTTCTGGAAAAAATACCATTATGGAATTACGTAGTGGTATTTAGACATGAGCAATAATAACAGTATTTTATGTATAACGTATTCATTATGGTTTCTCAACCTTGGCACTGCTGACATTTGTGGCAAGATAATTCTTTGTTGTAAGGGCTATCCTGTGCATAGTAAGATGTTTAGCAGCATCTCTGACCCCTCTACCCACTGAATGTTCTAGTACCTACCTCCCAGTCATGACAAGTGTCTCCTGACTGCCAAATGTTCCCTGGGTAGCAAAAAATCGCCTATGGTTGAGAACCACTGGAAATAAATCTAACATAATATATACACATACATTCCTTTATAATGCATATATATAAATATATGTGTATGTATTGTGTGTGTATTCCACTTTCGCTTAAAGTGTATATAGCTGTAATGTGTCAGCCTCATCCTACGACTAAGAAAAAGCAAATAAACAACAAAAGGATAGATTTTCTTAAATGCATTAGAGAGGTGAAGTCACAGTACAACCAAGCACCTTGACATCCAAGGAAAGACAGGAACTTCCAAAGAGAGACAGAATATGACTACTGGCTCACCTGTGGCAGAGTATGGGAGGAAGAAATGCCAGCTTCCATACAAGCTGACATTAGGAATTCTGCTTAGATCTTTAACAAATTACAAAAGGATAAGTGTGAACTATGGTGAGAATATAAAGCCCTTGTGAGTCACAGACACAGGAAGAGTTCACAGCCACTTGAAGATTGTTTTCCATGAACCTACACGGCGTGTTCATGAGAAAATGGGGCAGAGAAGGAGGAGATTAGAGAAATCCTTCCTCGGTGCAGCCTGGAGGAAAGGAGCAGCCATTGCTGTGGGAAAGGCATGAAGCCCCATGCGGAACCTTCTCTCCTACAGTATAAAGTCCAAAAGCTGAACAGAGGCAGCAGACTTTGTTAATTGCCCCCAGTGCACAAGTGAAGACTTACAAAGGTGGGAAAAGGTAAAAGAAAAAAGCCTCTTCCTGTGGGGGAGCGACAAGAAACAGGCCTGGGCCCAGGTCATTAGCGCAGTGTCCTGCTATTACATGAGAGGCACAAAATTATCTTGCACAAAACCGACCAAAGCCACAAGGCAAAGCCAACTGCCATGAGGAGGAGAAGGGGGATGACCACGAAGGTACATGCCTAAGACTGAGCCTGGACCAGAGCAACAGAAAAATTCCCTGCTCCCCACCACGAGACCAGCAAGTGCCACGTAACAAGTGAGAGAAACCTGGAAGAGAGACATAGAGCACTGAGAAAGCCTCCTTGTATTGCGCAGACACACAGAAAGGTCAAAAGCTGAGAGCAGAGCAGGAACATTGAGGAAAAAACACCTCCCTGATCCCTGCAGAAGCAATAAAAGAAAAAACACTAGAGGAATTTGAAACCAGTGGTGTGCTGAAGGGAACCATAGCAACAACAAAACCCAAACCCAGCTCAGTTCCTGAGGTGACTGCACATACACAATTGCCTAGCAGAAGAGGCATGCCCATTTCCAGGCCCAAAAACGATTTACCTGAGTATCCACTATTCCAAACATGAAGTCTGGCATTCAATCAAAAATTATAAGACATTTCCTTATATTTCCAAAAATATAAGGGAAAAACCACACCATCAAGGGACAGAGCAATCAACAGATTAAAACACAGAGATGACACAGATGTTAGAACTATCTGGTAATTTTAAATAACTGTGACATTAACAGGTTATAGTGGAAAAAGTGGACAATATGGGACAGATAGCAAGATACACGAACAGATGGAGAATTTGAACAGAGATGAAAAGCAGAAAAAAGAGTCAAATAGAAAAGTGAGAAATAAAAGCTGTAACAGAAGCAGAAAGTATTTTCTATGGGCTAATCAGTAGACTCAATGCAACTGAGGAAAGAATCAGTGAATTTGAAGAAAAGTAATAGAAAATTTTCAAACTGAAACACCAAGAGAGAAAAAAAGATAGGGGGAGAAAAACAAGAACAGATGATCTAAGAGCAGTGGAACAATATAAACTAGTCTAACAACCATGTAATTGGAATCCCAATGCGAGAAATTGCAGCCTTTTTCTGCTGGGAGAAGGAGCCACTGATTTCATAGGAAGCTGAATTTAGGCACAGCCTTTCTCACATGGGGCGAAAACCTGTGTTTGGATCCCAGCTATGAAGAACTTATGGGGTCATTTTGAGACAAATTGTTTGTCACTCCAAATTGGAATAATTGGATACCAAATAGAAATTAAATTGAACTCCTACCAAAAACAATATTTCTACCATAAAAATAAGTTCCAAGGTGGTTAAAAATGAAATGTAAAGAAAATATATAAATTTTTTAGGGGATAATATAAGTATTTTCTAGCCTTGAGGTAAGGAAGGATGTTTTAAGCAGAGCATAATCCATAGAGAAGAAAATTCATTTGACTATATTAAAATTACAAACTTCTGTTCATATCAAAATGTCATTAAAAGAATGAAAAGACAGGCTACAAGTAAGAGAAACCAAAATACATAAGATAAAGGACTCATTCGAAATATGTAAAGAACGATAAATAAGAAAAAAAGACAACTCAAAAAAATAGGAAAAATACTTGAACAGTAATTTCACAACAAAGGAAATGCAAATGACAATAAACATTGATAGATATTCACCCTCATTAGAAATAGGAAAATGCAAATTAAAACAATGAGATACAGTTATATCCTCATCAGAGCTAAATTTAAAAGCCACGCTCTAACTGATGTGGTTAAGTGGTTAGAGCGCTGACCTGAAGACCGAAGGGTCTCAGGTTCAAATCCCAGTAAGGGGCAGGCACCTGGGTTGCAGCTTCGATTCCCAGCCTGGTCGGGGCATGTATAAGAGGCAACCAATTAATATGTGTCTCTCACATCCATGTCTCTCTCTCTCTCCCTCTCTCTCTCCCTCTCTTTCTCCTTTTCTCCCCCACCTCCCTCCCTCC